CTTCTCTTCTCTCACTGCCCTTGGCTTTTGAATTTTCCCCATTCCCCAGTGAATCCCATTTCCTAACCCATGCTGTGACATTGTGACATTTCTCATAAATGCTGATACATCAGAGAGTGACCATGAAGATGCTCACCATGCCCGCAATGACGTAAGTTAGAAGCACCTGGAGCTCTTCTAAAACCTCAGATTTCTGGAGCCCAACCACAACCTATTGAATCAGGATGTAGCCTGCATTTTAAACAAGTTCCCAGGTGATTTCTACACACACTTGACTTTGAGAACTAATGATCCAAGACATTGCTTCTCAAACCTTAGAGTTCATCAGATGACCTGGTGGGCTTATGAAAACACAGATTGCTCAACTCCACTTCCAAGAGTTTCTGATTCAGTTGATCTGGGGTGGGGCTCAATGATTTGCATTTCTATGAAGCCTCAGGGCGAGGCTGTTGCTGCTGCTCTGAACACTAGATGTAGAGAACCACTAGTTTAAATCCTAGACTTTCAGAGAAAAATGACACTAACTTGGTCATAGTAGCCTTTGAGGAAGCTAAAACAAATTTTTCTGGAGACTACATTCTTAAAATAAGAGAAGAAAAAACAAATTCCAAAGAAACATACTTCTGATATCCTCATTAGAGTATCTGAAAAAATGGGGGAAGAGAAACAAAGAAGGGGAGAGTGAAAGAAAGAATGACATAGACAACAGTTTTTGGCAGAATGTGACAATTTGATATCATAACCACTACAACTGAATATTTTTGTGTACACGTAGCATAAAATAAAGGCAAAGTGCTACTTAGTAGATTTCCAAACTTTCGTACCCTGAGAATGTATAAATATTGTTAAACCACAATTTAAAGGCACATGTTGTTTAGTTGAACACACAAAGCTGTCCCTCTTCAATAAATAGAGATCTAAATGCGAATGTGAATGTCAGAGATTGTGAGCATAATCCATATACGTAATTCCCTTTTCATTTGCTCGCTCACATCAGTGAACCTTGGTGTGCATAACTTTTAAACACATGGATAATGATATAGGAAGGAATCTCTGATAGCCAATTTGCTGTGTCTGTTCTTACTCAAGTTTGAGTTCATCGACATTCAGTGGCAAGATATTTGCTGAATAAATGAACAAATGAATAAATAGAGTACATTATGTACTTGATGAAATTTTTAGGAATAAGAGGGAAGAAAAATAGTACCTGACTCTATTTAAAAATAGCTTTATTGAGATATATTTCATACACCATAAAACTCACTCACTTCAAGTGTACAATTCAATGGTTTTTAATATATTCACAGGTATGTGCAATCTTTACCACAGTCATTCTTGGAATATTTTCGTCACCTCAAAAAGAAATCTCGTATCCTTTAGCTGTGACCTGCAGAGCCCCCAGCTCCCTCCTGGCTCTAAGCAACCACTAATCTACTTTCTGTTTGTATTGATTTTCCTATTTTGGATATTTCTTATGAATGGAATCATATATGTGGCCTTTTCGTGTCTTGCTTCTTTCACTTAGCATAATGTTTTCAAGGTTCATCCATGTTATGGCATGTATCAGAAGTCCATTCCTTTTTATGGCTGAAAAATACTGATTGTGTGGATATGTCCCATTTCGTTATTCCATGCATCAGTTGATGGGCAGTTGGGTTGTTTTTACCTACTGGCTATTATAAAGTACCTGCCATGTTCAATGGTGGGTAAGATATTCTTATGAGAGTAATTTTAAATGAACACATTTCATATCAGTTTCTAAACTTTCTGGTGTGGATAATTTAAACATAGTTTTCTGTAGTAATGTGGCTTCAGTGGGGTTGAGTTGGTACCAACTTAAAGATATATATACAAAATTTTGAAACAATAATTTGTAAATTTATGTAATTTTGAGATAAAATATTACACATATATTGTTTTGAAACAATCACCAACTTATAGAAAAGTTGTGAGTAGAGTACAAAGAACTTTCTTTTTTGCCCGAAACACTTGAAGGTAAGTTACCGATCTGATGCCTCAGACCCGACTCTGGCTAGTTTAGTTTAGTGTGCATGTGTGTATATAGACACGTACAGACATCAGAACCAGAAAGTTAACAGTGATATATTACTGCCTTCTAATGAACAGACCCCATTCAAGTGTAACCAGTTGTCCTAATGATGTCCTTTATAGCCAGAGGAGGTGGTTATCATGCACTGCCATGGGTTGTCCTGTCTCTTTGGTCTCCTTTAGTCTGGTTCATCATGTTTCTTTGACTTTCCTGATCTTGGTACAATTGAAATTTACAAGCCAATTATTTCATAGAATGCCCCTCAATTTGAGTTTATCCGATATTTCCTCACGATTATATTTAGACAGCACATCTTTGCCGGGAGCAGCACGGAAGTGACATTCTGTTCTTCTCGTCGTGTTCTGTCACAGGGCACACTACTTTGATTAGTCTCATTACTAATGATGATTTGATTAAGGTGGTCTCCAATTCTAACTCTCTTATTTTGAATAAGGTGATATCTTTACTTGATGCTAGCTCAATAAGCAACCAGGATTAGAGTCTATAATGAAATAGTTCTATCAAAGTTTTAGAGATGAGAAACATCAATTCCTCTTTTAATATTTGATACATACCCTTAATATCAAGAATATAGAATAGCTACTTATATGTGATGTAGATTTCACCTTTAATTTTGAAATCCATGTGGCATTTTAAAAGAAATTGAACAAAAGTTGAATGTTTCTGATTAAATTTCACTTAACTCTTCAATCTTTTTTCTGGAAAACTCATCAAACTGAGATGGCTTTGGAATATGAACTTCCTAAGTGTTTCTTTGGGAAAACGGGAAGCCACATTTTGCAAAAGAATACAAAGAATCTTACTTTCCAGAAGACTATTTCCTATCCCATATCTAGTTTATTCATATTTATGTAAAAAAATCTCAGAATAAGTAATATTTAATTTAAAAAATATATTCCATAAGGTATTTTCTTGGGTTTCAAACTTGCTTTATCAAGAGAAGATATGCGCACAAAGTAAACCATGGTCTCTCAGTCTTTGCACTATTATCATTTGGGCTGCATAGTTTGTTGCGGGGACTTTCCTGTGCATTGTAGGATGTTCAGCAGCATCCCTGGACTCTATGCGCTAGATACCAGTGGCATCTCCAAATCTTGACATCCAAAAATATCTCCAAACATTGTAAAGTCCCTTTCTGGGGAACCAAAGCGTAGAGAAACAAAACTGCCTCTGGTTGAGAACTACTGAAGCATTTATAGAATTTTTATTTAATTTCTAGAAATTTCCATTAGGAAACTATGGAAGTAATTATAGATTATCATTGAGATTTCTATTCAAGTAGAATTTTCAACATTTACATTATTAAATATATTGGATTTTAAATATAAATTTCAAGAGAAAAGAATACCAGCTAGGGCTAAAATTTAAGTATTTCCAGAGATGTATTTTTGCAGTATAATACATATTAAAAGAGATGCTATAGGAATGACACTTATTGTTTTGTTAAATTTCATTAAAGTTTGGGCAAAAAATCATCCTTTTTCATGTCAATTAAGAAAGTTATCTATGAATAGACATTGATAGAATTTCTTGTCAAATACAAGGATGAATTCGCTGGAACTGCAGGCATCAAAATGATGCTTTGGTGCTTGTGACTGGTCAACAGAGCACCCATTCCTGATAAGAATTTAGGTGGAATATTTTTCCCGAGGCAGTTGCAGTCAAATCAAGACCTGCTCTAATGCTTTTCAGTGGTGCCAACTTTCTACTTTTTTCAATCCTTTTCCATCAGATTGTCACTGTGAGTATTAAGTTGCAAGGAACTGCAAACAATTTGAAATGGGTGTGTATTAACTACGCCTTTTTTTGGCAGAGGAAATATTTTTACTAAATTTACTGTATGTGGTAGGGAGGAGTTGGGGAGCAAATAATTTCAGCCAGTATCTGCTGAGTTCTTGGGTGGGTCAGAAATGAAGCGTGAGCAACCACAGGTGCTCAGAAAGGAATGCAAAAATATTTCTGATGTGTTGTCTGCCCAGAATGCAAGTATTTGTTTTATTGCAGTTATTGAAATACCTTTACAAGTATTTTCTGGCAAAGCAAGCATTTATTTTGGGAGCATTTACTTGCCTTTTAAACTTGCTATTATTCCATTGTTTGCTCAATAGAGGAAAAAATGTCTGGGAAATGCTTTTCAAGTTAGTTGTTGCCTAATGGCTCTTTTATTCACTTCAAGAAGAAATCTTTGGGGTTATGTGAGTGTTAAAGCGGTCCACGAATCAAAGAAATACCCGAGGAAGTCAGAATAAGCCAATCTGATTGTTACACGAAGATCACAACCCTTGGCAGAGGGTTAAGCATTTAAAAAAAGAAAATACAAGAAACCTGAAGATAAAAACTGGAGGAAAAACCAGAGACAATATGAGACCACTAGATAGCAACAGAAAGAGCTTCCAGGGAATAAGGAATTTCACTTTGTTCTGAGTTTCTTTTTTCTACATTTCCTATCTTCCTATCAGAAGGTGTCATGGAAAGTTAGTAGGTAAGAGTAGGATGCCAGCTTTAGCTGGGTGTGAGTATAAGTTTCCGCTAAACTAGATTTATGAACAAAAGAGACTATGTCCTAAAGACTGGAACACAGTAATTTAATAGTGAGATTCCATGGGACGTCTTTGGTAAGGAAAAAGGAAAGATGACTCAGCAGTTGGTATCGGTATCGGTCAAGACATGGGGAGCTGAGGTAAGAGCAGTGGCCTGACACTCATGTGTGAGATAAAGGTGTTGGCAGTCCCCAGTGGACAAGGAGGATGGAGTGATGAATTCTGAGTGACAAAGACTGGGAGAGTTTGCCATTTGTAGTTGCATTTTTATTTCCGCTGCTACATAATTTCTCCTATGATATAATCAAGGCATATGGAGCAACAAAACTCAGTACAACAAAGACCATGAGAGAAATATTTCATCTGGAGATAGATTGCAGAGACATGGGGACAAATAAAAATAGCTTTATTAGTAATTTACATTTCTAAGGCAATTGCTTCAGAAAAATTGCCAGATCGTCTCCTACCCACAGTATCTCAGCGTCAGTTCTTAGAGTGTGACAAAGAATCCCCTCTTATATCCAAGTTGGGAGTCCAATACCTGTAGATTTTATTAGCTTTATTCAGAAAGCCAACAAATAACACTTCCACTTCTAGAAACTTCCCTCCTATGACCTAGAGAGACATAAATATAACCAGTCATTTTTGTTTCCAAAGCAAAGTTGGATGTACTGCTTTTACCCCTTCTTCTCCAAGAGCCATCTGCTTATCCCTACTCTTCTCTCCTCTGTGCCACTTTGAATCCCCTCTTCTTCCCCGGATGTCGGATGTCTCTGACCCGAAGCTCATCCCTCTTCTTTCTCATTGGGCTGGAGATCCCATTTCAGGTCTCTGCTTCATGGCCTCCTTATGGTTCTGACTTTGTTTACGGCTCTCAGTTAGCTGGGTCACCCTCCCTGTCTGTGCCCAGGAGATATAGATATAGATATATAGAGATATATATATATATATTTGCTCTTTTCCTGGTCACTTACCATTTCCTCAACCCTTTTCTCTTTGGCCACCTCAGATGCATGGCTGCATACAAGGGGAGCTGCTTGTGAAAGAAGAGGTGATCCCAAGTCATGTGCCCTTCATTGTGGGAAAAGTAATATTGACAAGAAGGTTAGATTAAGTGATATTTGAGACCCCAATGCTCCTCACTGGCACAAATTGGATTAGATTGTTGACACTGGCTCAAGCTCATTCTTTCCAAACCTGTAACCACTGCCCCTGGGTTTAGCTAAAGGCAGTGTTGCTAGGCTCCAGATAGTATATGAACAGCCACATGCTTGACCCACGTGTCCTAAGACTTTCAGCTGATGTATTTAACTTTTTTACTGGGTGATAAAACATGTGACTCTAGAAATACAGAGAGAAGGCGCTTCTTTACCTCCTTTTTTCCCTTTAATCTCTTAATCAGGCTGCCTCGTTTGTGGCACCTGAAAAACTTTTATTTTGCATTCATTGTCAGTGCCTCTTTTTTTTCAGATGTATCATGATATACCTGCCAGAAGGGGCCAATCAAAAGTGGCTGTGACCATGAGTAGAGAGAAGTCATTCCTTCTGTTCTTTCTTATGCAACTCAGCAGAGGTAGTACCAGCTTCCATTTGAAGGGGCTCTCATTTCTTTCTGCCAGAGGAGTGGAAATACTCTGATGAGTAATGGCCAGAGTGGCTTCTTGTGCATAGCAATGTGCATGATCATTGTATGTCCATTTTTGTATTTCCAGAGCCTTTGCGCAATGCCTTGCGCAAATGGATAGCGCTCAATAAATATTTACTGAAACAAAGTTAAACTAAGATCAAATTATTCTCCATAAGGCTCATGGTATAGCCAAAATTTGGGGTATGGGGGAATGGGTGGCATCTGTCATCATATAGATAAGTATTTCTAATAAAGTTTAAACTCTTGAGGAATTTATCTTCATTCCAAGCCTCCTATTAGGACTCATTCATAGGGTGGGAGAAGTTGAGAAGTCTTGTCAACACCACACCAGTGGGAATGTAGATGAATTCTTTCCACCCTGAAATATTATACGTGGCCACAGCAATAATACGTGGCTAGAGCTATCTAGGAGCATTTGAACCCCAGGGTTAGAGTTATCCAATACACCCCTGATAGCATCAGAATTTTATTACAGAATTTCCATCCTGGCAATACTATCACCCCAAGCAAGTACTGCAACAGCAACCTATTTCTTGGATGAATAAAAACAAGTTCATTCATAGGAGTAGCTAAGTGCGTTATGCAAGTAGAACACAAATAGCTAATGCTTTAAGTTCAACGTTTCTGTATAATGACTGAATATTCTGGCAATTCTGATATCTAAAAGTATTGAATAATGTATTATGGCACTTAAGTTTTTTTTTAAGATATCTTTATTGCTGTCATTTTATGTTAAATAAACAAAATATGTGAGCTTAACATTTTGCATTTCTTAAGTTTTCATCAATTGAATTTCCTTTAATTCTTTCCACCAAAATCCTTCAAACTAAACTGATATTAACTTGGCTAATAAAAGTATCAGCTGTATTTCTTGCTTAAGAAATGTAGCTACATGTGTTACAAAAAATGGAGTTCATTTGTAAATAATAATCCATACAAAGGTAAACACAGGTGTAGATGAATGACTTATATGAGGAGGGGGAAGCTAAGAATGTGAACAAGTTGTGTTTCAAAATGGTACCAATAAATGAGAAAGAAAGACCAGAGCAGATAGCAAAATTCTGAAATAGTATTCAAAGTTGATGCTAAGAGAGACACCTGTAAAGAGTGGAAGGAGAATCAATGGTTTTTCAAATGGGCTGTCACTCCTTCCTATGGGGTATTTTTGAAATTGGGAGGGAGCATGTTTTTGTTGTCACAATTGTAGGGAGGATTCTACGGGCACCATAATGCATGGGAAGGTTCTGCTTGGTAGAAAAGCACCCTATGTCACATGCAACTTTGGAATGACCCACAGGAGAAATTTGTATATTATTCTCCAAAGTTAAACACTAACTTCATTACACATAGCAATCCAAGGTGTTCTTTTTCTGGTTTTAATATGTACTGAGTATTCAAGGAATGCAACCAACAGATAGCTTGAAGAAATAATTTTACTTTGTTTTGTTCAGAAAATCACTAAGAATTGTTCACAGCTTGAAAAAAATCACATCACTTTTGACAATGTCCCTTGCTATCTAAGGTATTGGTAGATACTCATGGATCAGGCTGTATGTGATATTTATGTATTTATGATAGATCTAAGACTGTGCACAGATATGCTTATCTGTTTTCAAAATATAAATTTTTTTAAAAAAAGTATTATTCAGTTGATCAATGTCTTCTCTTATATCTAAGGTTGTTCTTCATGAATAGAAGCAAGCATATAACAGCCTCATTCTGCATTCTGTTGTCACTGTGCCCAAGCATTTATTTACATATTTGAAGAGATAATTTATTATAAGTTAGCTTGTCTTTATTTATGCTTTATATTGCAATAGGCATTGTCTCCTATAATGTTTATAATAGTATATGTGGGTAGACTAAGCTACCTGTGAAACTGATCTCAGGAGAGTTGAAAAGGTCCAATGATGAAGTATTTCTGGTAAAGAGGAGCATGGTAAAGAGAAGAGGATCAGTGATAGGAAGGCATGCAGGACTTGGGAGGAAGTGTAGGATAGGGAAAGTGAAAAATTTTTAGTGAAGCTCTAGAAAAAGCAGTACAGTTTAGGCTTTAAAAAAAAATCCCTAAATAAGTGTAGAAAGGAGGTTCTACTTATTAAGGCCAAGGAGATTCCAGGAAAGCATAGGAATGGAGTCACTCTGAGATGGACTGTTAGCAAGATGTTGAACATAAATTAAAAATAAATATATAGGGTTTTTTCTAAACCCAAATAAAACTCATCTGTTAGTTACAAAGCTGTGTCCTGTGGAGTAGACAAAGTGACTACAGCAGTTCCTACTTAGGAGGAGTTTACATCCTAGTTTGAGTGAAAATACATGGATATCGACATAGGAGAAGACTACTGATCCAAAAGTTTAAGAATGGGATTTAAGTTTGTAAGAAACATGGCTAGTAATGTTGCTAAAGAAGCTAATTCTTGAAGGATTAAGATAACCTTTATAAATTTCTAAAAAACTTATAATTAAATTTATATAATATATAATTATATATATTTATAATGATGTTTATAATTATTATATATATCATTATAATAGGAAATGAGTCTTTTCCTCCACTACTTGAAAGTTTAGAAATTATTCACCTTGAGAAGATAAAACACTCAGCTGTGTTTTCTTCTTGAAGTTTCATAGTTTAAATTCTCTAAATCAATCAGGATTGAAATTAGTGTTTGATAAGATATAAAACTCTAAATCTTTTTATTTTACCCAAATTGCTAACCAGTTGTCCTGGCACCATTGATTGCACAATTCTCTTTCTCTCTTGACTCTGGTAGCTCTGGGTTATTAATCCCCCTTTTCCCCCCATGGAGTAATGTTTAATGTCTACTGCCAGTTTCAACTCAGGAACATTATACCAACAAAAGCCTCATTAAAGTCCTAACAATAGAATATGCATGGCTTTATTTCCATGATCCCTCACACACACTGCTTATTTCCCATTTTATTAGTACTTATTGAATTTGGTGGATGAGAAATAGCTCATTATTTTGATTAGTAATATTGAGATTAAAATATTTTAAATAGATATTGATACCTTTTGGGGACTACAAAGTTTTATAACATTTCCATAGTGATTTTTGAATATTCTTTGCTTATTAAAGATGTTTTAACATCTGTCTTAGTCAGCTTGGACTGCTATAGCAAAACACCACAGACTGGATGGTGTAAAAACCAGAAATTTATTTCCCACAGTTCTGGAAGCTGGAAGTCCTAGATCAAGCTGCCAGCATGGTCAGGTTCTTGGAGAGGGCTCTCTTCCTGGCTTTCAGGTGGCCACCTTCTCCCTGTGTCATCACATGGTAGAGAGAGAGAGAGAGCACTGGTGTCCTTCTTGAAAGGACGCTAATCCCCTCATTGGTGCTTCACTCTCATGACCTTATCTAAAGCTAATTACCCCAAAGGCCCCACCTCCTAATATCATCACATTGGATTTGGGGGGGTCACAAGCATTCAGTTCATAACAACATCCCTTCATCCTTTCCACTACATGTATTGCAATTGTTTTTCCATATATTTAATGAGTAATTCTCCTTTTTCCATGTGTTTGTTAAAATGCAAAAAAATTAAATTTATATATAGTCAAAATTTTAAATTATTTTGTTTCTTTTCTGTTTATAAAGATCATTGTGGGGCTGGCCCGGTGGCACAGCAGTTAAGTTCGCATGTTCCACTTCTCAGGGGCTCAGGGTTTGCCGGTTTGGATCCCGGGTGCGGACATGCACCACTTGGCAAAAAGCCATGCTGTGGTAGGCGTCCCATGTATAAAGTAGAGGAAGATGGGCATGGATGTTAGCTCAGGGCCAGTCTTCCTCAAAAAAAAAAAATCATTGTGTATTGCACATCGGGTAAATATCCACTCATTTTCATCTAGTTCTCCAAAATCTTTTATATTTAATTTCTCAACTATCTCAAAATGAATTTGTTCTATCCATGAGCTAAAAAATGTATTTTTCAAGAAATATCAATGAATAATATAGTCTTCCTTAGCTCATTATCTTGAATGGAATGCTTAAATTTGGATCCTCCACAACAATATTTTTTATCTATTGATACTAAATTTAAACTATTCATATGAGTTGGTGTAAATACATTATTATAATGATTGCATCTTTATAGTACCCTTAATGTATGATGGTACATGTCCTGTGTTACCTTTTTGTGAAAAATTTCAAGGGTATTTTCAAATATTTACTTTTCCCAATTTTTTTGTTACAATTTATAGTTCTTTTTTAATGTGTTCATCACATTCTTGAGATTTTTTCATAGTAACTATTTATTCTATTATTATCATTGTATTGTAATTATTAGATTTACCTTTATTTGCCTGTTAGGTAAGATAAGAAATTCTCAATATCTATATATTTATTTTAGAGTCACCTTTCTTATCTGTGACTTTTAAATAGTACGGAGTTAGGAACTTTAAAGCCTATTCTGGTAGCCTATATGTGCAATCTTAATTCTATCATCTTTTTGCACGTATTTTTTTTCATTATTATGGTTCCTTGTTGTGTGTCTGTCTGTGTTTATGTCCGCATTCCCCCATGTGTACTGTATTTTTTTGTTGTTCTTCATCTTTGTATAGAATTCTAGAAGATGTATAGTTCTTGTGATCTTTCTACTGAAGATTGCCTTTATAGTTTAAAGAATACACTTTAATCCAGTTGTCTTCAGTCATCATCATAATTAACAAAATTTTATTTTTCAATGTCCTTATATTTTTTCACTCTTCCCAATTCTAGTTATCGTTTTCATTCTGTAAAATTTTGCATCTGAATTCTTATTAAATTATATTTTACATTGATTTTCAAGAACTATTTGTACACTTTTAGTAAGTTTTATAACTCTATAAGTAACATTTGTGGGTTTTGTTACAAGTTTTTCTACTTGCCACAACTGCTTTCATCTTCAACTTTTATGTTCTTGATGTCAGGTTTTTTACCACTATGGTTAGTGTAACATACTTTCCATGGATGATATACTCCCTGATCCCTTGTGTGTCCTGAGATCATCTTTTGGTTGTTCCCATTCCCTGAATGACAAGTTAGATAGGCAGAAAATTCTTGGATCATGAGCTTTTTTCCTCAAGAGCTTATTACCTTGGCTCAGGTGTTTTTGGTACTTAATATGGTGGGGGAGTTTGAACGAGTCTGACTTTGTTCTTTTGATGCACTTAATTTTTTTTGACTAGTTCTGACTGAAAGTTTTTTTGTTTTTTAATGGAAGTGGGGTCTGTCATCTTTAGAACACACATGTTTTTGGGGGATAGGTGGAGGTGTGGGTCTCATGATCGTTTTCTGCATGAAATGAGCCTTACAATCTCCACACCATTCTAAATTCCAACTCAAGAAATTCCACAATTCCCACCTCAGCCCTGTCTTTTCTTCACCTTCCTTCTTTTTGGAGAGATTTTATATACTTGTCATATCCCCGCTATCCTGAGAGGGTTTCTAAAGTTTGACCTCTCTCTCTATAACTCACTTTTTTGCATCGTGAGTTCTGCCTTGTGTTTCTGTGTCACAATCCCCGTGGATGCAGAAGGACTGGGGAAGGGCGAGGGGCTTCGATCGGCACAGGGCACTACACAGCCTGCTTCCTCCCAGCATTTTGACCTGGCTGAATAACTGGAGTTGACTCCAGGAACTACAGATAATGCAGTGGCTCAGCAAGGTCCTTTGATTTATGGCTCATGTACAAGAATTCCCAGAATTGAATTAAGCTGAAGACCAGCCAGGTAACTCTCCAGGATACCAGCCTCTAAGCAAAACACCACCATTGGATTAAATTAGTCAGTTAATTCCTGTTTTTACACATAGCCTCTTAAGTGACTGGAAAAGTGTAACTGGTTACTTCCATCAAGTAGATACAGTGTCTTCCAAGTGGAGACACCAAAAAAGAAACACTCCTTCTATTAAAAAAAGACTCCTATTAAACAGAGACTTCTGGCTGACCTTCAAACTCTGAGGCAGTTGACAGTCAACTGAAATATTCTGTTTCAATCATCTGAAATTCTGCAAATTAATAATACATGGGACAGTGTGATAAACTAGAAACAGACTTTGTAATTCTATCCGCAGAGGCTAAACTCTATCCTTAATGAGGGTGAGTGGGTAACTTCACCTAATATGACTCTACCAAAGAAGTTAAGATGTTATGTTGCATGCCTGAAATACATTTCTTACATCAAACACAGAATAATATGTCTATAGTTATTTGTATCAAGAATATTTATCCTCCTCCTCCATTTAATAAATAGTGCACAGATATAGATATTTAGGGGATGTATGTTATAAATATCCCAAATTATTAGATTATCCATGGTAACCACATACCTCGATTTGGCTTTGGGTAACTCCTTACTGTTTTTTCTTACTCAGCTCCATCATCTTTATTGCGAGTAGAGGTTCTCGCCTGTCCTGAGAACAGGGGTGGTCAGATGGCTTTCAGTGGTAGTTAGAGAGATTTTGTCTTTCTTTTTCTCAAAGGTATTTCAGTGGGAAGAAATCACAGGAGTCACATTTCCAAGCCTGGCTACATTCTCCGATAGCTCTGTGCCTTTGGGCACGTTCCTTTCCCAGCCTTGTTTCTATGTATGTGAATAAGAAGTAGTAATATCCACATCCTGTGGTTACTAGCATGCTCTCTGGCACTTGTAAGCATTCAATGAATAGTAGCTGCTATTGGTATTTTGCAAAGTAGGAAAAAGGTGAGTCAGAGACTAAGAGCCAGCTATTCTTTTCTGCAAGAACTCTCCCACAGGTGCTTCAATAAATAACTGTTAAATGAATGGTAAATGGACGAATGAGTGGACACCTTAATAAACAAACACAGGTAACACATGACAAGGCATAGTCCTGGTTGGGCTAGAACTGCCCACCTTCCCTGGGCCATCTGACTTTTCTAAGTGTCTTGCAACTTCTTATTCATAAGCTGAATTTCAGATGTGCAGTCTACTTAAAGTCAGTTTTCCTGGAAGATTCTTCTTCTCCACCACTTCTTTTCCTCTCAACCCTTCTCAACCAGGTCTTGAATCTCTGGTCCAAAATTTCCTGCCTTAAACCTGCATTGAGTCTTTGAGTTTGGCTGTAACCCTTGTGGTTCTCCATGATCTGAAATACAATTAATGATTCCGCTGAAATATCTGAGATTGAATTTGTTTCAGGAGAACAGTATGTCCAAGTTAGAGACTTTGAACTTTGATACATAGGTTATGATGTTTAATGTAGGAATGATAGTATTATAAGAAATAAATGAATTTTAAAAGTACTCTATGTGTTAAAAACTTATTTCACACAAATTTAAGATAGAAATCAAAGGCAGCATAATTCATTATTTTGGATCAAGTAAATAGAGCTGGGGTTGCCTGAAAATGGGAAAATTAATAAACTATTAAAATCCTATTTATTGACAAATAAATAATGAATTCATTTTACTGATTGTCCTACCCCTACATCAGAATATGCAGGGGGCCGGCCCCATAGCCGAGTGGTTAAGTGCGCGCGCTCCGCTTTGGTGGCCCAGGGTTTTGCCGGTTTGAATCCTGGGTGCAGACATGGCACCGCTCATCAGGCCATGCTGAGGCGGCATCCCACATGCCACAACTAGAAGGACCCACAACTAAAAATACACAACTGTGTACTGGGGGGCTTTGGGGAGAAAAAGGAAAAATAAAATCTTTAAAAAGAGAAAAGAATATGCAGCACGTGTGCTTTTCTTAAAAACTGTCAAAAGGGAACCATCTTGCAATAATAACAATATCCAAGAAATTATTGTTTGCCCAGAAATCTTAGCTGATGTGTAGACAGGAGTGCAGCCAAGTCTCCTGTCCTCAAGATTTGTTGTCACAGCTTACACTTCCACAGCTCTTCAGAAAATGCCCATCAGTGTTTTCTGCCTAATTTCACTGTGTCTTCTTTTCAAATCTCTCTCTGTGCCTTTGTATCCAGAGTAATTCTTGCTCAGTAGCACATGACCTCTGGTTCATGAAGTGCATGATATGGTCACAACCTGAGAAACTTCTTTCTATCTTCCTTTGAGATCTGCATCACTCTGTAGACTGAAGACTATGAGGCTACGGCATCATTTGCATTCAGTGTCCAAAAGATCATGTTGTCAATTACTGTGTGCACTGTAGAAAATTAATTTTCAATAATTATAAAAACATGATTTTTGAAAGGATTATCAAAACTAATATCCTTTTAGAATACCTCTGCAGTATTCTGATTTGTTAAAATCATTCCCTATTCCCCTTTGAGTCTCTTGGAATCTACTTCTGATCCAGTCTCTTTGTGGGTATCCCAGTGGGACCAAACCATACTAAGTCCCTTCTCTCAAAGGGAGTGGTTTGCATGAGAACCTCAGTCAATGGTTCTTAGCTTCTGCACTATGGATGTTCAGAGCTGGGTAATTCTCTGTGATGGGGGCATTGTCCTGTGTACTGTAGGATGTTTAACAGCATCCCTGGCCTCACCCACTAGATGCCAGTAACGCTCACACCCCAGTGTGATAAACAAAATGTCTCCAGATATTTCCTAATGTCCCCTGGAGGACAAAATCACCCCCAGTTGAGCACCACTGAGCTGGATTAATGTCCTCCTTGTACCAAGGCTTGTCACTAAGCCCCTTAGTGTGGGAGACTTGGTGGATTCTAGCATACCAATGGATAGAAGCTATGGATAGACCAGTCACTCTAATATAACTTTTGCTGCTCAATTAAAAACCCCTCCAGGTGTTACTACAGATAGCCATCTGGACTGTTTGAACTCTACCTCACTAGGCACTCAAAATTAATGTGCCTCGGGATTTTGTGGTCAAGGTGTGCAACAATCATTAATGTAAAACTATTTGGACTGGAATAATATGTGTTCCATACATACACACATCAATTTAAAACATCAGCTTAATCAGATAGAACAGCCTAGCTGTGAAAAATATTTTTAAAGAAGATAATGGTACCTGCAATATAGCTATCCTTGGCTTTTAAAAAACATTCAATTAAAAAAAATCAAAGGTATTTTTACTCTAAAATAATATTTCTTCATTCATATTCCTTAGGAAATCCAGGGTCTTTGAATACCAAGTATTTTTATTCTGCAGAAGTAAAGCTTTACTTATTTCCCATGTTATTCCTAGTGACTGAGAATGTGTATTCTCACCAATGTGTTAGCAAAATATTTCTAATTATTCAAAACTAATTTTTTGGAGACCTTTAAAGTTCCCATTGGTTTGAAAGAAATTTAATCTGTGTATAGTGCTTTCTATTTTTTATTTCAAAATCATCTTAAACTTATGCATAGTTGTAAAAAAATTCCAAGAACTTTTATTTTTTCTAAACCATTTGAAGCCAGCTGTTGACATGATAACTTATGTGTGTATTTCCTACAAAGAAGGGCATTCCCCTATATAATCACAGTACAGCCATAAAAATCAGGAAATTAATGTTGGCACATGACAACCACAGACCCCATTCAAGTTTTGCCAGTTGTCCTAATAATGTTCTTATAGCAAAAAGATTCAGTATAGAAGCATGCATCGCATTTAGTCTTCATATTTCCGTAGTCTCTTTGAATCTGAAATAGTCCCTCAGCCTTTCTTTAACTTTTGTGACCTTGATATTTTTGAAAGTTAAATGCCAGTTACTTTGTCTACTGGGCCTCGGTGAGAATTTGTCTTGTGTTTCCTCATGAGTAGATTTGGGTTATGCATGTTTAGCAGGAATACCACCAACACGATGCTCCGTTCTTCCCCTTGTATCTTCTGGAGCTGGGTTTGTCTCATTACTTGTGATTTTTAACCTTGTGATTAAGGAGGAGGCTTTGAGGTTTTTCCATTGTAATCAGTAAGTATTTTGTGCTGAGGTATTTTGAGACAATGTAAATATTCTTCTGTTCCTCATTAAATTTGCACCCACTAGTTTTATTATCCATTGATATTTCTTGAATGAATCAATTATTACGATGATGGTTGCCAAATAGTGATGTCCTATTTCCATCATTTCTTCTACTTTCCTCAGTTGACATTATACTGTAAGGAAGAGCTTTCTTTTGCTATTTATTTATTTATCTCAACATGGACTCAGATTGCTATTTTATTTGATAGATTATAGGCTATTTTGTCATTATTTTTTTGATGCTTATCTCCCACTGAATCCAACAATGCATTCATTCGTTCTTTCATGAATTAATTCTTTTTTAGGCAGTGCCTTTCTTAGATTTTTTTCTCTTACTTTTTAGTCTGTACTTGTCTTTTCTAGATTTTACAGTGGTACGCCCTGCAAGATAGATGCAACGAATCCTTTAAATTCCATCAGTCTTTCTTGTTTTAACTTGAGTGAATAAATGATCCACACTCCACCTGGGTTCTCCTGGAGCCATATGGCGCCGTATTCAGAACTGTCTCATGACTTCATGATCCACAGCTTCAGCATCTCAGGAAAGTCCCAAGACAAGCATGCCAGTTCTCACCTTGCTGTGTTCTGATTTCTCCTGCCCTTTGGCCCTCAGAGCATTCAAGCAACCAGACTGTCACTGTCAAGGGGAATCCAGCATTCTCTGCAATCACACACTCACTCTACCCAGGCTGACCTAGAGTTCTCTTCGTTGCTACGTTGACGAGGAACTTGATGATGGCTGCCATTCTCCTAACTAAGGAAATTAATGTTGGTATGTGACAACCACAGACTCCCTTCTTCTCCCTGTACCCAGAGTGTTTCTGCAACCCCAGTAGGATTCATTTCAACTTTCCTCTCTGTTTTCCCTCTCATTCCCTCAGAACCGTGTCCTGGGCATGTTTCCCTCCAGTTTCCTCACATCATCCTTTCCTTTCCACCCCACATGTCACTACGGATATAAGGCTAAAGGGCTTATGGGAGGTCTGTGGATTCAGTTATTGTTCATTAAAGTGCTATTGATCACTATCTTTTCCAGCAACTGCTCAACAAAAAGTGAAAATAAGTGCATACATGTATGAGTAAACTGTAATGGATAAACTTCTTAATATTTTGTTTGACTTGAGAGATATTTTAACCACCACTGGCATACTTGTCTATCACTGGTTCTAAACTTACCCCCAGGGGGCATGCTGATGGTATCTGGTCTAGGCCATGGATGTTGCTAGACAGTTCCTTGTAGCAAAAAATTATCCCAAATGTTAATCGTTTCAAGTTTCAGAAACCCTCTTCAATATAAGTAGTATTGTCTTGAGATAATTTTACATTGCATAGTTCTTTTCATGGTCCCGAAGCTTTTCAAAGCTAATTTTCTTACTTGATTACTTACTATGCTTTCAAGATTCAGTTTGTTCCAGACTTAATTCAACCTTCTATAGCTCATCGTTTATTTTATCATTTCTGACATTCACCAATTCCCCCAGGTTCAAGTTGGGAAAGTGCAAGAGAGTCCAAAATTTGTTTTGGGTAACTGCTAAGATGGAGGCCTGAGTCTAATTATTATCATTATATTATTATCTAATTATTATCAGCTTAGGTTGTAAAAATAGCTGTTGGATTGACACAAGCTATATTTATTTTATTTAGTTATTTTGGAATGTATAAATATTATGCAGTTTATATGTATCATAAGACTATTTTCTTTCACTTTACTTTTTTATTTTTTAAAAATTTTTTAGCTGAGGAAGATTGACCCTGAGCTAGCATCTGTTGTCAATCTTCCTCTTTTTGCTTGAGGAAGATTCACCTTGAGCTAACATCTGTGCCAATCCTCTTCTATTTTGTATGTGGGTCACCACCACAGCATGGCTGCCAACGAATGATATAGGTCTATGCCTGGGAACCAAACCTGGGCTGCTGAAACACAGTGCACCGAACTTAACCACTAGGCCATGGGGCCAGCCCCTCACTTTTTTAAAAAAAGAATAGAACTAGAAGTTGATGTTTCAGCTTTCTGTGTTGTCTAGTTTGTGGACAATTGACAATGATCAAATATGAAGAGTTGTCCTCTGAAGTGAAGAATAGCTACAGCCAAACTAGGAGAGAAAGCAAGTCTCGTAGTGGAATACTCTCATGCTGCTTTTACAAGGCATATCAGTGCATTATGTATA